TTCATAAATCTAAAATTTGAGATATTTTGGGAATGAAAATTCCCCAGTGTTTCTTATTCTTTTGTATACATTAGTTCTTTGATCTTTTTCAGTTACCCTTTGAGGCTGACAAAATATTTTGCAGTATAAAAGTTTTCTGAAGGTTTAGGTTGCTTTTCTAAAATCAAAGTGTGTGTGTGTGTGTGTGTGTGTGTATGTACATATATATCATTTAAATATATGTATTAAAAATATGTGTTTAAAATACCTTAGGAATTGAAAGTAATATAAAACCATTCATCCTTCATCAGCCAGTCACTAATACTCACCAAACTCGTATCCATGCTAAACTGTTAAGATTCCTCAGCTGATCTGAAACAGGGACTCTGCTCTACTTGATGGAATGTTGCAAGAACACTTCAGCGTGGTTGCAGGGTATTTGTCTTTCAAGGTCATCAGACCAGTAAACAGAAAGCCCATTTAAGGAGGAAAAGAACTCTATTATTGGTCATTTTTTTATTCTGAAAATTGTTATGCTTAACTCATAGTGGAGTTTTTCAATGAATAAGAATTTTTCAATGAATAAGAATTATAAAGCTGAGAGAATGGAAAGTTATAAGGTGCTTAAGATCTGTTTTTTTTTTCCCAAACTTCATCACACACTAGGCTGTTTCTAACTTTTGTTGGCTGTAAGTGTAAAGTTTGTAACTATACAGTAAAACTGTAACTGTAAAGATTTTATTTATATTATGATAAATAGCATTGTCTGTTTTCTTTACAAACTCAGTGACCTCATATTTTATAGTTTCTTTGTAATATAAGTCAGTGGTGCTCAACCTTGGCTGCATATTAAAATCACCTGGGGAACTTTTAAAATACAGTGATTCCCCAGCCATCATAGATGTTATTTCTTAATTGGATTAGGGAGGAGCTCTGGCATCTGTATGTCATAAAAGCTCATAAAATGATTTAATACAAAATTAGGATTGAGAGCCACTGACAGGGGGTAAAGGAAGGGGTTTTATTTGAATTATCTGGAACTATCCCATCCTGGAGCATGTTAATATATCCTGTGTGGATAGTTACATAGCATATGTTTTGGAAAATCTCTCCCAGCAATTCTAACCTTGCAGTAGATCCCAGTAAGAAAAACAAGTTCTTCCACATGCTTTGTTCTGTTGTCCATTGCAGCTCTTTGGAAAAATGACTTTGGGAAGAGTTTGGTTTATTCAGCCACATAAAAAATCAGTCAATGTCAGCAAATCATCTCTGTACTTCATAGCATATTAACACTTATGTTTCGACCCTTCAAGGCTGGGCTCATCCATGGTATTCACACAGATGGAATGATATTCGTGGAGCAGTTGGGATGTCTGTCACACCTTTATTCACGGGTGGGTGAGCCACACACACTGCAAGCTGCATGTCTATCAGCATGTCTCATGTCATGGCCCTTGCTCCCCAGTGTGGCCCCCATCATGGCACCTGTCCTTTTGTGTGTCTCTCATCATCACCCTCAGTAGAGAGTCCCTACCTGTTTAATTACTAGAGGGGAACAAAGCCAGAAAACTTCCAGAACATTATATAACATAACATAACATAACATAACATAACATAACATAACATAACATAACATAATTCTGTGCATGCAAGCCCACTTCACATGATGGGAAGAGTTTATCTCACCCAGTCTCAAGGCCATGAGAATGCTGGTTATCAGGCCCCCCAAGGCTATGGGAACACTGCTTCCCTTAGCTACCCAGACACCTGGGTGAGGAAGCCAGACTGCCTTCACTTACTCTGCAACACTCTAATTTGATTTGTTGTTATATTTATAGCTGAGATTAGGAACTATTGGGATTGGGACACAGGATGGATGGCAAGGGTAGGATAACCTAGAGGTTTTAAAACAGTGCTGAAGCCCTATCACCAATTTAGAGAAGTTGTTCAGAAGAAGAAGAGTCAGCTTCATAATTGTACCTAGAGTGAGTCTTGTGTCTATTTTTTCCATAAGTGTCTCAAAATTTTATTTAGAAAGTTTTTCCTGTTGGGTCACTAAATACAGTGAGAACTTTGTCACTAATTTTGACTAAACTCAAACACTTTGGACTACTCAAATTGTCTTATTGTTTCTACCAATGTATGATCAATCTAATTCTTTGAATAGTAATTTGTAGTAATAAAAATATTTCAAGAAAAAAGGTTATTTCTTTTTTATATTGGATTTGGCATTTGTACACAGATGAGAACATATGTGGTAAATGTGTATGTCAGCTTGACTGGGCCATGGGGCCCAGATATTTGGCCCAAGATTATTCTGGATGTTTCTGTGAAGTTTTTTTTTTTTTTGACATTAACATTTAAATTGGTGGACATTGAGTAAAGCAGATTATATTGTGGGTGTGTCTCATTCAATCGACTGAAGGCCTTTATACAACAAAGACTGACCTGCCCCAAGCAAGAAGGAATTCTGCCAGAATACAGCCTTTGTACACAAATTGTGAGACCCTGGATCTCCAATTTGCTACTGTACCCTGCAGATTTTGGATTTGCCAAGCCTCAACGACCATTTCAGCCAATTCAAGAAAACAAAATATCTATCTACCTGTATCTGTAACTATATTGTATCTTCTGGAGAACCCCAACTAATACAGGCCATACTTAAGACGTGGACAGTATGATGGCTGCTACGGGCTGGTCGGCCCCAACTCCTGATCACTAGACCAGCAATGTGAGCGTTCCATGGGAACCTGTTAGAAATGCGAACCCTTGGGCCTCATCCCTGAGTACTGATCCAGAAACCCTGTGGTGTGGCTAGCAACCTTTAACAAGTCTTCTCAGTAATTCTGATGCACACAAAAGATTAAGAACAATTGTCATATGTCATAGGAACTTTGGGAATTAGCATTATTTGCCTCCAACCTCACTCTGACTGTATTTTCTAGAGGTGGCCCACCTAGGTAAGAAGGAATACAGATTGGTGGTTCTTAAACTTGGCTGAACATTAGAAAATTTGGAAAGCCTTAAAAAATTGACAGCTATTGGGTAGGGGGTGGAGGGATTAAGCAAAAAGAAAAAGGACTCATGGACATGGACAGCAGTGTGGTGACTGCTAGGCGGGGGATGGGGTGTAAGGGGACTAAATAGTAATGGAAAAAATACAATAAAAATAAAATTAAATTAAATTTAAAAGCATAAAATAAAAATTCTGCCCAGGCTGTAGCCTATACCAGCTATGGATATTTCTAACACTTGCTCTGGTAGTGTCTATCTGCAGCCAAGTTTGAAAACCAGTGGCATAGCTAAAGAAGTTACACTTTCTGTTAGGAATAAAAAGGAGAGTTATAGTGTCATACAATCAAATGTCCTTTAAGTAACTATAAATTATGAAACATAACACTACAAATGGCATGTTTTTTGAGTGTTACAAATACATGTTAACTCATTTAATTTTCATAACAACTTTGTTATATCTTCCTTTTGCCATTGAGGCAATTGACGTGAAAGAAGGTAAACTACCATGGTAAAAGGCACAGAAAGCATCAGAACTAAACCTGAACTGAAGCAGTCTGGCTCCATAGCTTTTGTTCTATTATTACCTAATACTACCTTGCAAATATTAGTTTATGTCATTGAACACAGGCTTTCGATGCAGCTGGCTCATCATTTGAGGAATGCTGGCATTCACCATCCTTGCTAACTGGCTCTCGGTGACCTACACAAATGTTAAAAGACATTGTTAACCAAAGGCCTGGACATAAGCCACCACTCCTCAAGCAATTGAATAAAAATAGACTCCTGGAAAATACCTCAGAATAGAAAAAAATCTGAATGACATGAAAAGTTTTTTGTGTTAAGCCCACAGGAACAAAAAAGAAAAAAAAGAGGTTCTGGTTGGTGACAAGGAATTGTCCTCTGTATTCATGTTATTAGCCTGTCATTGGCCTAGTGTCTTCGTTAACGGAGCCGTGTAGCATCAATTAAGTGTTTTTGTGAAGGAAAACACACCATAGTTTCAGGAAGGTTTTGTTGTTGCTGAATCTTTTAATCTGGTTTCTACACTGATAGTTGAGACAGGGCAGGGACCTCACAAAGAAAGGTTTTTAATCAATTCTGGTACATTTTCTCTCATGATGTGTTGTGTGTGATTCAAAGAAAAATACTTCATTTGCATTACATGCCTGTTAAGTGTTGAGACTTTCTAAATATAACATCTATTGAACGTATTTGATGTTCACCATATTAATTGTCTGAAGCCTTTTCTGTTTTATTTATCATTTTACACATAATTAAATTTGGGGTTACAGTATCAATTACAGATGTCTCTAGACAGGATTTTAATTCAACTTGGGGTCTAATTTTTGGTAAGGAAGCAAAAAAAATAAATCAAAGGAATAGTTGTAGAACAACTACAGTGACTTCTTTGTGGATTCCAAGCATCAATTGGATTGATTTTGTGAGCTAAAATGATCTTTGTGTTACTTGAGAGTTTTAATATAGCAGTGATTGTTTGGTTCTACAATATGGATTTGTCTTAAACTTAATTGCAGGTTATCTGTGTTGCTGGGTGGTAAAAATATGCTGAGTAATTCCCTTCCTGTGAAAGGGAAACTCACAGACACAAAGCTTGGTATATGTCCCATGTAGTGACTCCTTCTCAAGCTGAGAGTAAATAATAACCCGTTATTGAGTTTAGATGTGCACTTGATGCTTATTTATGTTAGGAGAGTAAAACTTACACTTTGAAACATTCTTTAAGCATTTTAGAACCTTTGGTTATGTATTTTGTTTTGTTTTTATTAAAGTAAGAGCCTCTGAAAAAAATTGATTGGTTTACTTTGAAAATGTATCATTTCTTCTGTGACCACTAAGCAGATGTAGAAATCTATTCTTGGCAATCACATCACACGAATTCCCTTGAAAAAGTCTGTACTGGAGAAACAACTGGCCTATTTCCTGTTAATTGTAAAATTATTGGGTTACAGAATAAAGAAGCACTGGTGATCTTTTCCTTTTTTAAAAAAAATATGGAACACTTCATGAATTTGCGTGCCATCCTCGTGCAGGGGTGATATCAATTCTCTGTGTATCGTTCCGATTTTGGTAGGTGTGCTGCCGAAGCAAGCACTGGTGGCCTTTTTCATAATGAACTTATTCATCTCTGTTATTTGCTGACCAGTAAAAACCTTTGTTATTAGTTTTTTTTGTAAAGTTAGTGGAATAGTGCCTTTAAAAGTATAAAATATAAGAACAATACAAAAAGGATAACATTTTCCCCAAAATAATAGAAATTCAAGGGAATAAGATGTACACAAAGTAGACCTACTCTCTTAATTAGTGTAGCTGCAATTGTTTGCTAAACCTAACACAACACATTTTCTCTGAAAGAGGAGTAAATAAAACCAGATAACAGACTACCTACTATGTTTGATTAGCTTTTATTTTGTTTAAAAAATAATAAAAGGACTTTATACATTAATACATTAAAAATGATTATTCTTTTATATTTATGTGTGTGCATGAGAGAGAGAGAGAGAGAAAGAGAGACAGTGAGAGAGAGTTTTAATTTTTAATCTGTGGTAATTTAGCCATGCATATCTTTCCATGAAAAGTTAGAGCATGGTTAGGGTGGAATTACCTTATTTTTCAGACTGTAAGATATACCTCCACCAAATTTGTGAAAAATAATGGCTTTTAATGCTGCTGTTGAGTTCTGTTTACATTTACATTGGTGAAATACTATGTTATTTATGTTATTAAATATTTTACCACATTCTTTGATTCAAAATTTTTTTCCCTATTTTCCTCCTCTAAAACCTAGGTGTGTCTTATGGTCCAAACAATATGGTAATAACTACTTTGTAGAATTTGGCACACAAAAAAATTATGTGCCTGCAGTGGTTGCATAGCATCTTAACCTCAGTATCAGTGAAGACACACTTCCAGTTCTTAGGAAAGGAGTGGTGTACATATATCATGAAGAACTACTTTCACTTGCTAAAAGTAAAGGTTTTCCTAAGAAATTCATTGTCTATTTATGTCACTTTTAATGACTTCATGTCAGGGAAAAGGAAGAGGTCATTGCTAATATAATAAATAAAATAATGTATGTAAAAGTACACTGTAAACAGCAACACAATTCTAAAATTTGAAGTACATTTTAGTTCCCCCCTCTTCAAAAAGAAAAAGCCCACAAATGCCACTGATAAAGCAAGTGATTCATTTGAAAGTACTAGAATATTAATATAGTCTTTCAGCAATGGTTTGAGGAAGTAGACAACTTTGGAAGGAGATGATAAATTGTATAATGAAATCTCATCAAATATGTAATTTATTCAGCTTTATCATATTTTCCTTCATTTCTTCCTTGTATTTTTCCCTATATATTAGCATTTTGTATGGCACTGTCCAAGTTAATTCCTTAAATGTATCAGCTCCTAAGGATTCATAAAAGTTAAAAATTCAGATATAGGTTAAATTAAATTGCATTGTCCTTGTAACATTGAAGATTTTAGTATTTTAGATGTATAAACTTTAAAATTATAAAGAACAGGACAGATATTGAACACAAAAAGCAGATTCATACATGGGTAAGAGCATGAGCTCTGGAGCCATAATGGCTCTGTTCAAACCCCAGACCTTCTCCTTACTAATGTGTGACATTTGGCAATTAACCTCTGTGTGCTTCAGGTCATTCCCCTGCATAATGGGACTAATAATGTACTTATTTCACAGGGTAGTTGTGAAGATTAGATTAGCTGGCATATGTAAAATGTGCAAACTATTAAAAACATAAATTAGAGAAGCACTTGAAATTGGAGATGTGTGTAAAAGGCTAGAATTAATGATACATAACCTGGGCAAATTGATCGGTTTACTTTCAAAGGTAGAAGAGAGATAATGGAGATTTTGTGTTGTAGTCTGGGTGAAGAGGAATGTGCCAACGTCCTTCTATTAACTATGGAAAGCATTGAGGAAGAAGGAGGAAGACTAGGAAGGTTAGTATGTGGGCAACTGAGGAAAACTTATGGTGAAGAGACTGGAAAAGGAGAGTCAGGTATTGCAAGCTAGAGAGACATCAGTATGAATTCAGGTGAGCCATGAGAAAACAGGTTTTAGTTTTAATCAGTAATGTTATGAGCAACCATTTTAAGAGCATGAAATGAATTATGCCACAAAAAAGAGGAGTATCTGGAGCTTTGGTAGTAAAAGGAATTAATATCATTTTTATATAGTAGATTATATTATAATTATATATAGAATAACAGAAATAATAGAATTCATCATGTATACACAAATATATACACACAGAGACATCAATAGATAAGAACAATAATTTATCAGATTTTGCCCTGGCTGGCATAGCTCAGTGGATTGAGCACAGGCTGCGAACCAAAATGTCGCAGGTTCGATTCCCAGTCAGGGCACATGCCTGGGTTGCAGGCCATGGCCCCCAGCAACCGCACATTGATGTTTCTCTCTCTCTTTCTCCATCCCTTCCCTCTCTAAAGATAAATAAATCAAATCTTAAAAAAAGTCACCTCTTAAATTCTATAACTTTAAAAAAATAATTGATGAGATTTCAAGGTTAATTTACTTAACAGTGAGTTTTTGAAAACTCTTATTTCTTAGACTTCAGAGGAAAAAAATCAAAGTGATTGAGTTGTGGAATACAATGACCACAGCAAGACTCATGCTCCATGGTGCACATGCACTGTTGCTCCATGTTGCTGCTGTTAGTGGTGAGTGAAGACACATCAAAACAAGTTATAAGATATCTTAAGTATGGCATAATTTGATTTAAACATAATTAAAAATGTTTCCCTCATTTTACTGGAACAATGTGCTAATTGCATTATAATTTATTTTGTATCATATGACCGTTGGTGTTAAGTATGATAAGACCATATAACTCTCAAAATTATGAGGCTACTTTTTTTAAGTCTGATACATAGATCCAACTACATCCTGAATTCCTCATTTGATTGACATTTCATGCTAGTTTTAGAGGTTTGAAGGCAAATGGAAGTGAAATACAATTTTATTTCCATTTTTTAATGTTGCATTGGAGAGCCTTATCAAATTGGACAAAAAACTTTAAGAGATGGGAAATAGTGGTGCCCTCATTGCAGAGAGAAGTCAGCACAATGGTGAAGGGTTGGTGAAGGGTTCATTCATAACTATTATCTGTTGCTCAAACATATTTGCATACTGCATCAGGAACTATCTCTGTATCAAATGCAGTGGGGCAGGAAGAAAATGAGCAAAAGGGAAATATGTGAATTGTAAAGACAAAGCCTAGTGGCTAGACATAAAAAGTGACACTCAGACACAAATGGGGTTGAATTATAGCTGATCTGATAAGCATAGCTATTCAAAGTGAGTCTCATTCAAGGTACTAGGACAGTGTGGCTATTAGGTGAAGGTAAGGGGGGCAGCAGTCTGAAATCCCAGCCTGGTTCTCTCTCGGACTATGGATGCCCTCCTCCTTCCTGTTTGTCTTCCCCTCTCTCTCCCATCCACCCTTGAACTCCAGTAAGAAACTCTGGGACCTTGGAGCCAGGACAAAATACGGGTAGTAAATTGCTGGTAGTGTTGGGAGATACCTGAGGATGCTGCTCTGTAATGGTGGTGAGTAGTGCAATGGAGGTGAATGGGCTCTTTCACCTCCAAGCACAAGGCAGGAACTGCCTGAACAGAATGGGCTGTCTCCAGATTTTGTTTGCCACCATTGAGCAGACTCATACATTCCCATTGGGCCGACTTGAAGTCAATTTTAAACTAATTTGGGTTAAGCTCAGGCACTTACTCATTCCAATAGATACATATTATTAATTCTGATAGATACTGATGAGAAAGATAAACTGAGGCATATTTGAATTTTAAGAGTTTATTTGATCAAAAGTTAATTCCGATAGGGCAGTGCCAAACCAGAAGTGGTTAGAAGCACTTTACCAACAGGAAAAAAGGGGAAGCAAAGCAAGGAGATGATTGATTGGCTGTAGCTTAAAGCCTAGTTGGTTGTTTATGATTGCTAGTCCTTAGGTTTTGATTTCGTAACCTTGAGACTTTTACAGACTTAGATTTTGTTTTGCTTACATAGGCTGCCATGACATTCAAGCCACCTCAGGCTAATGCCCCTTCTTTAATTTAAAGAAAATGATGTCACAGATGGTGAGTCTCAAGGTGTCTTTTGTATATTGAGCAGCTTTACGATCCATGTGAAATGAAAGAATTAGAATGAAAGAAATCAACTTCTGTTCTACTGTCACCTTTAAAAGGTTTGTCTTCCTAGGCAGAGAAAGAGAAAATTCACAACCTATTTATATATTTTTTTACAAAGGTCCGCATTATTATTATGAAATCAAAATAATTATATTTTTACTGATAGACATTATTTTTTTGGAGAGGCAAAACAATCACATATGGGAGGAGTAGACTTCATAATGGCTTCATAAAATAGAGAAATGGCTAAACCATTCAAAATGATCAAAGAAAAACTATTTTCTCTGTACCATTAAGTGAATAAATATAATCTTGCTTAAATACAGTTGTATATGTTTTACATAAACTAGCTACATATTTCTATTTTATATAAGTAAATTTATATTTGAAGTTATAAAAATAATTCAGAAAAACATTCGTTTCCAGTTTGGTTTTAAAATTCAGTGTTTTTTTCTAAAGGAATATCTCTATTTCCTGGTAGATGGTGATGTCGGTTCCTCTCTGAGTGTCTAGCATGGGTCTCTTCACTTTGCCTAACTGATGTCGGTTAAATTTGGTCCTTCTCAGTGCCTCCGTCTTTAATAGAGGCTGCATACTTAAGCCTTTTCTTCATCAAAATTCTCATGCCTCAGTCTGAGCATGTTTTTGTCCTAAAGTTGTAAAGGAATTATTAGACCATTTTGTAGAACTGCCAGTGCTCTGTTGTTAATGATTTTTGCCCACGGTAAGTTCGAGAAGTTTCTGAAGGAATCTTCTTCACTGAGAATAATGGATGCAGATTCCTTAACCATGGGGGTAAACTGTTCTTTTTACTGGGTAGAGCTTCTTACCCATTATTTGAGGCCAGTCCTTTTTTATAGGTTCTCTTCACCTCTACCATATTTATTAAAGAGGAATTATCAA